CAAACGTTATCGGAACTTTATAAAGGAAAACAATCCCGACACCCCAGAGCGTGGCTTATTTCGAATTAGTTGAAACTTACCTTGGTCCACACTCGGCAGGCAGGCTCCCCCGTCGACTCCGCGGTACTCCTCTCGGCGAGCTGGAGTACCGCAGTCGACGGCGAGCACTTCCGGGTTCGACTTATCGCGTCCAGACTAGACGCGATAAGTCGAACCCAGAAGTTCGATTTCCAGCCGTCGAACTTGCCGGTAAGTGTAGCCAAGGCCTTATACATCTCCTCCCTGCAGAATACACACATTTTCTATTGATGGTTAGTGGTTGTTTGTGTGTGCATAAAGGGGAGACCAGACTCCCTTGTGTCATTTAAATATACTTAAATTATATAGGCAATTCTTAGCTTTATAGAGGAAGAGCTGTGTGTTAGAAACTTATTTTTGTTTTTTTCCCTACCATGCAGGACATAATTATATCTACTGTCTACTGATTATTCTACAATACTATGTTCAATAGGGTCTGTTTTTACTCTTAATTTACAATTACTGTCTACAATTATCTTCTAGTCAGTGATTATAGCTTAGTATAAATGTCTAAACAATGTTTACAAATAAGCTTCTTTGTATCATTTCCATTTAATACCTTGCATCAACTCTGAATTTTGTTTAGTTGTGATATTTTTTAAAAAATTGATGTACAGTGATTAAAATGATCAGGGACAGTAATTTTTGTACTAAAGTAAATACCGTAAAGACCAAAGTAATAGTTTATTAAAAACTCATTCCATATTTATAAGTCAAAATAGAAAAAAGCAAGAATCCTGAAATTTGACAAATCTGGCTAACTACTAAATAACCACAAAGCAAATAGAGAGGTGATGTAAATGTTGGCTAGTGAAATGTGAACTCAGGTACTCAGTGGGAGGAGGTGCTACACTCGGAAATGTAGTCAGAGCAGGTGAAGCTCCTTTTATTTATCTTTTTTTTTTTTGGATTGCTTATCTTGAGCTAACCTCATCTTTCTCACCATTTTATGGAAGTGTAACTTGCCCTACTATGCTTCCAAGAAATTGGGCCCAAATTTACACAAAACTCCTAGTCACAAATGAAGACTCTACTGTTGTATTAGCATATTATATAAAAAAACAGCAACCTAAAACTTTGAATGAGAGTGAATGTACTGGTCAAAGTGCTTGATGATGAAATTGGTTGTCCTGCTTAACTTTAGTCTTGGATTACATTCAAATATAGCCAGGAACTTTTGATCTTGATCACTAGGAAAAACAACATTTTAGAGGCTGGAAGGGATTAAATTTGTTTGGCCTTTAAGAATAATGTATTTAGTAGTTTGACTACTAGCAACTAGGCTATGTAGCTCTTTGTTTAAATTGCGTGGTTTGAAACTCTACTCCATTTCATATTGGTTGAGCCTGATTCATCACTGGCTTGAGCCCTGCATAGTCATGTAGTCACACTTGCGCAAAGCAGGTGTAATATGTTACCACGTTAAAATGGTAGCATTTAACACTCACTTTTAAATGGGTGTAAATGACAGCACAAGGCAGAGGTGAATCAGGCCTTTGTGTTTAAGGCAAACAGGCCAGAGTTTCAACATCCATGTGTTCTACAGCACCATGTGAAGGAATTTAATTAACTTCAGATCCATTGGTATCTTTACAAGCTGATAAAAACAAGTCAACAGTTCCCAGGAACGGCTGTACCGGCCAGCTGCCAGTGCATATCTCATTTGAAAAAAGAAAAGCATATTGGATATGATTATCAGACCTATACAACGTTAAACTGAGAGATTGGCCTAAAAAAGCATCATAAGATGGAAACCTCCCCCATCAATGCAGCCACCTGCACAGGCAGGTGACCTTCACTAGCAATTTGCCCCTGCCTATCTCAATGCTCCCACACTAAAAAGAAGTCAGCACCAACCTTTCAAATTAAACATCAGGCAAAGGAACATTGTTGAATGGGTTATGTTCTCAGTGTCACTCATATTTTTTAGAGTTGTCACAAAATAGTGATGTGCCATCTACAATGTATCTTACTGTCTATAGAAAAAGGTAGGTTATTTATGAGCAACAGCTTTCTGTGATGATTTGAGGAAATTTTCTGTGGACAACAAATGAATTCTGTTGAAATTATGAACATCTGTTTGCATCAGCCTGCAGATGCCATTTTGAATGTGGGGGTTGGTTACCTTCTCTGATGTTTTACCACCATGTTTTCCAAGGGAGGTAGTAGCACAGGGCTAACAATGTAAGGTTGTTAAATCTTGATAGCTCTCTAGTCAAATAGGAGGCTCCTAAACAAAAGGCTGACTTCTGCCAGAAGTTAGTTTATCAGGGGAATCACCTGGTGAGAGGTCTATGCTCACCTTTGTGACTGATCAGGTGGTCACATGACAGAGGAGACTGGTAGTTTATAAAAGGACAGGAGGGCAGTCCTCTGGTTTTTTGGTTATTTTTCACCACCTCAAGCTGTTGGAAGCTGTTTCAGGAGCTTGAGGAGGCCAGAGCTCACTGATCACAGTTGAACCCCACCAAAGACTTCCAAGGTAAGGGTGAACTAGAGTGAAAGGCACTGCAGCTGGAGTGCTAGTTTTCTCTGTGCGCTCCTGTACTTTCTCTCTTAAGAATTGAATTGCGACTATGTAAACAACTCCCTTTTTTTTAAAAGGGAGCATAAAAATATATATAAGTGGGCAGAGTAATGAGCATTCCTACTCACAAATAACACCCTCAATTCCATATAAGTACAGTCTTCCTGTTTCTAATCTATTATATTAGCATGGCTACCATAATGCTTCCTCCTTAACTGCATCAATACCTGATTTCCAAATGGTGGGAGGAACAGATCTCTATAGTTTAAAGCACATTTTAAGCTTTCTGAGTGAAGTCTTTCTCTCTCTATCTATATCTATATATACATACTGTGGGTGAATAAACTTCTGAACCCAAGTTCCTTTGCCTTTATGGGTTTCAGCTGAAAGTTCATCTTCACATAACCATAGTAAAAATCATTATCCAGACAAAGAGTTATCATTATCTTACATATAACATCTCCTCCTCCTCCCCAACAAAAAATGTTATCTTAATGGGAAGGTTGCTCAATGTATTTGCTGTAAACATAATCACTAAAACAGGCAGTGAAAACAAAGTAGGTGTACTAAGGATGCATTTCTGCCTGATGTTTGATTTTCCTTGACGTTTGTAAGTTGAAGTCAGATTCTTTGATGTGGGTTGAAAGTGTTGTGTGTGTAACAAGTGCCTGGGTACGTAACTAACCTACTTTGAGTTATGTTAAAGCTTTTCAAAATATGCAGTGGTTAGGTGAAGTAGGAACTGCTGCCAGTAACAAATATCAGAAACATTAAATATCATTGTCATTTGCTGCATTATATTTTAATTCATTTTTGTGAGTAACATCCTCCTTAAGTTGCAAGTTCAATATATTAAAAATAACATATACTGAATCTACTTAATTTAGCTTTAGGATGTTAAACTAGAAATAATTTAGAATGTTTGTTTTTGTTTTGCTCATTTTGACTACATAAAATACCAGTACTCATTTTAAATTTCACATTTTAAAGCTGGATATTTATTACTACTACTGTAACTAAACTGACTGAGGACACTCTGGCTAGGAAAAATAGCAGTAGGATTAGGAAACATTTCACCTTTAGGACAAACTTAATGCAGGCTGGAAAGGGAAACTTTTCTGATGTGATGCATGTCAAATGAACTAGTGGTCTCAGACCAATTACTGTTTCCATCAAATTGACACCACTGTGGGCAACCTTATCAGAGAGTCCAAGGACTGAACAAGCAGGAAGGAGAATGAATTCACCCAAGTGACAGGAACCATACTGGTAGGATGGTGTAAGAAGAGTGTGTAGTGCAGCTGCCTGTGCTGTAGAAAGTGAACTTCAGTTCTGTTAATCTTGCACCCCTTGGGAGCAGCGAAACACAAATGTAAGTCTGACTGCAAACCTCTTTTCTTGCCAATGACAATTTTAGTTCTAATGGTGACTACAGATCTAATCATGATATTGAAGTTTCTACAAGTCTAAGTGCAAGACAAAAGACTGCACAGGAACTAATCTGTTCCATGAAATAAAAGGAATTTATTTAACTTACAAAGGTAAAACTAACAAATGACACTTCCTTTTCTTTCATATCCATACTTCACAACCTGCAATTAAAATCCCCTTTGGAGAAAGGTGCATTTTATCCCATTATATTTTACATTGCCACACAGACACCAAAATTCTCATTGAAGAAGTAGGACAACTAGTTAACATTTAAATACACAGACATCCATTCCAATATCTTATTAAGAACATGGTTTTTGTTTACACAGAAAAATACATCTAAATATGACAACAGTGGCTAATATATTACAAGCAAACAATATTGAACTCTGCATAGTTTATACAATATGCTGTGGTAATAACTTAAATTACCAGTTTTATCAACTATTTATTAGCTAGCCACATAAAGCCCGACATTCATCTGAAATGTGGCATTGTATGTTACATTGGTATTCTCTTACATAGCTTCATTTAAGGAAGTCTTTCTTTTTCCCTGGACAAAGATAAGAGTTTCAAAATTAAAAGCTAACTAAAAACATGTTTCTGTTCACTACAAACATTTAATGTTCACATTACATTCCTAATGTAAAGGCAGATCTCCAAAATATAAAACACAGCCATCAAAGAAAAAGTAATGTGCAAATTAAACATCGCATTTTAAAAATGTCTTCATGTGCAATGTATAGTATCAACAGTGTATTAATACTACCTGGTAAAAATATCCGCATAAAACGATACAGGTGTCTCATAGTACATTCTTCATTGCACATTGTTCCACAGCTTTTGCATCTATTACACTTTCCTGGCCTACAAATTCTTCCATACACTGAATACCCTTCGTTACAACAGGCTATTTTTTTTAAATGAGTAGTTGTAGACATGCTTCAATTAGTAGCAAGAACTGGAAGAAAAATAAAACCTGAATCACATTACAAACTGGTTATTGACTTTATTTAGCGCCATGGTGCTTGTATATGTCTGTGGCTACTGTTAAAATCTGTGTAATATGCTTACTAAAGAAGGCTTACTGTAGGTTATTGAGCAGTAACCTACGTATGACTTTAATGGGTTTTATTCTTTGTTTTTACAATCCGCTACATGCATTTCCATTCCCACCAATCTATGTACGCAGTGCTCAAGAATCCTGCTTTAAAAGTCAGTCTTTTTTTCAGTTTCACATAATATTTAATGCTGCAGTAATTGCTCTGAAAGCAATGTACGATAATTCCTTTCATGAATGCATATTACTGCATTGTAGCTATTTAACGGAACTGTACAGAAAACAGGACTAAACATAAATCTACAGAACGTTAAAAATGCCTGCAGGGATGTTGAAAGCATTAGGTAGAACTCTCATCTTCAGTGTGCCATCTGCTCCACAGGAGAAGATGCGATTGTCTTGCACAGTTTCAATCTGCATGACTCCAGCACCAATATTTCTGAATATGGACTGTTTGGCATGTTCGTTTTTAAAGGAATGAATTAAACCATAGCCTGTCAGTCCCCAGACCTATATTAAGAGAATGACAGACAAGACAAAATGAGGTTAAAATGTGCCCTTTCTATTGAGAATCTGGATCAAACCTTTCCTGCATCAAAACCCATTCAGCACAGAAGAAGGGAGAGAAAATATGGATGGTCAGAGAGGAAGTTGTACAGCTCCAGGATTCTCAAGATGCTCTTTTACAGCTATAAGTTAGAGCAACCTAAGGGCTGCTTTAATGGATAACAGCTGGCCAGTCTCTTAAGCGACCATACACCAGCTGTGAATTCATGTAGTGAAGCTGTGCTCCCCTCCACCTCATCCTGGCCTTCTGTTACCTGCATGCCCCACTCCTGACTTATCCCATATGATGGGGATGGCGGCTGGCATACAAACTGCTTTTATGCCAGGTAAGAATTACCCTCCGCTGGAACAGGGGCAGAGAATCTGGCTCAAATTTCATTAACACTGGTGCATAATGAGAGTTTATGACTTGGGACCCAGTTCTCCAAAATGTGGAGAGTCCTCAAGTTCAGTGATGTAGGTTCAGGCCATTAGGAGGCAGGGGTTCTCCTATCTGACTATAAACATACTGCACCTCTATAGCAGTGGTCTCCAAACTTTTTTTGATCGTGCATCCAATCAATAAAAATTTTTTGAGCACGTACCCCCTGCTCCTGGCCAAACTGCCAAGGGAGGGGAAAAAAATAAAATAAAAGCCGCTTGGACTCCCGGTCGAACTGCCGAAGGGGGTGGGGGGGGGAAAAAAAGCAGTGCTGCTCTGGTGGCGCTCCTCCTGCCGCACACCCCGAAGGATCTTCTTGCGCACCCCCTGGGGTGCACGCATCCTACTTTGGAGACCACTGCTCTATAGCATAGTTTAGCTAAGGGCAAAACTTCTGCACTCTCTCTCTGTCTGTTGCATTCACCTGTTGTCTTTCCTCTTGTATTCAGATTGCAAACACTGTGGGACAGGGAGCGTGCTTTTGCAGTGTCTAAGCAGAGTTGGGTACTGGTCCATGATTGGAGTTCCTAAACACTACCCCAATACAACTAGTTAAAATTCTTATTTAGAATTTGATGTTTTCCTACAGTTACTGACACTACCCTATAGCTCAATTGGCTGTTTATTTTAATAATTACTTTAGCACTGTTGCAGGAAAAAGAAATACAAAGGAAAACAAGAACAAATTCAGAAAGAGACAGTAATAAATTAAAATAAATAGCACAGTGCATTATGCTGAATTATCTCCATGTAAAATTCATATCACAACTCAGCCACTTCACTAATCTTACCTTCATGTTACCTTCTGCTGAGCCTGTTGCAAAGTATTCTTCAGAAGGATCTAGTGAAAGAGCCTTAATAGCAGAGTCATGCGCTTGGAAGGTATGAAGGATTTGTCTCTGTCTGATGTCAAAGATGCAGACACATCCTTTCCTGCCTCCAGAAATCAACAGTTGCTGCTTAGGTGCATACTGAAGTACTGTGGCACCATGATCATGACAAGTGAAGGCTGAGAGACATATTGTAAGATTGTTACAGATTTGTAGTTTTCAACTTTAAAGTACAGTTCTAGTCTGAAAGGTGACTTGCCCTTTTTTACTCCATAGATATGCTCCTTTTGAGTGTATACAGTCATATCTGCTACATGAATGACAAACCTTTTTGTATTACTCTACACTCATTAGAGCTGCAGAGCCAGCAGATGTAAGTGAGATGGATTCTATTATTCCTTTAATCAGTTAATTTTGATTTATAGTTTAAGCACACATCCCCGCTTGAAATTTTTAAAATTGAGAAAATATAAAATTCATACTGTATGTTAAATTACACTAAAAACAATAATAAAAGAATACACTGATTAACTTGTAATACAGATGTTTAGTCTAGCCCCATATGAATTTTTTCCTCTCAAAATCCATGCACAAATCCCACTTGATCCTTTAACTATTAAAAAACTGAAATGTGTTTTACTGCAGTACTTACCGTGAATGAGACTGTTACCAGGGGATACCAAAGTGTCCCATAAGCACACATTTCTGGTGGAAAAACAAAACAAGTCATGATGGCATCTTGCTAAATGATCCTGGGAT